GTTTCCGGTTTGGAGTGACATAGTTACTTAAATTATATCAGATATCTGATATTATACTGCAGTTACGGTATTGCATTACAATATTGTGTTATTATAGCATTATGGCATTACGACATTACAACATTACGGCATTATGGCATTACGACATATAATTTTTATAGCAATAGATGCTATGCCGTAATTAATTCTACTACTGGTAAAATTTTGTAATTACTGTAATTCAGTAATTCTACCACCAACTATAACCCTACCTACTGTATGTTATAGTAACTGAATATTTGATAGCAAATCATAATCCTATCTAAATCACTAATGCTATTTCAATAGTTGGTGAGCACAGTAACCAAATTTTTTTTGTCAAATCTCTATATTAATCACAATTTTTCAATACAAATTATCCTGCCTCTATCTAAATTGCTTATGCTATCACATTAGTTAGAAGTATAGTAACTATATGAATTATAGTAAATCTAATATAAAACAACGTACATAATTCTATCTAAATCAATAACTCCGCCACAATAGTCAGTAAATACATAACTGAATTTTCACAGCAAATCAAATAGTTTATCACAAAATTCCAAAAGGCAAATTTCTAAAAGGACCTAATATTGACAAAGTTAGCTGACATTAGTTATAATGTTAGTCAATTTAGTCGGCATTATGTTCTTTTAGGAAAATGGTTTTCGAGATTTTGTTGTAGAACCAAATCAAATGATACAAATTATGATAAACTTAACATTAAACTAACATAACATTATCTAAATCACTTATACAACTACAATAGTCAGTAAGTATAGTAACAGAACTTTTTACAGCTAATCATTATACAAATTATGACATAATTTTACCCAAATCACTTATATAACTACAATAGTCAGTAAGTACAGTATTCAAACTTTTTATAGCAATCACTATACAAATCATGATAAGACTAACATAACCTTATCTAAATCACTTATAATTAGCAAGTGCATTATTGAGCTTTTTACAGAAATCTATACAAATCATGACATATTTATTACAAAATTAACATAACTCTATATAAACCACTTATGCAACCAAATAGTCTATAAGCACAGTAAGAACTTTTTACAACATAAATTATAATAAAACTATTACAAAATTAACATAATCTAATCAAAAACATTTACACAACCACAATAGTTACTATCTAAACTTTGTTTAAAAGTATGTATATACATACTAATTTTTAAACACATATTACAGTCACCAGTAAGATTTTTAAAATAGCTCAACCCCAATACAAACTAATTCACCACTTTAATAGCCAATATAATAACAAGTAGAGTTATTAGCTAGGTCAAGTGACCCATACAGATCACAGGTCGAAAATTGCTCTACCCCAGATCAAATGGGTCAGAATTCAAAATATGCAAAAACCTACTAAAATGCTATATTGAATAGATGTTAATCTAATTGTAAACAGTCACCAGAATAACAAGTAAGTTCTACAACAAAACTATTTGCAATACCTGATAAAAATTATGACAATTACAAGGCAAAAAACTCAAACTTAACCCTATTATTGTCACTGAAATAGTAAATAAGTTCTGTAGTAGAGTTTTTTTACTGTAATTCATAATAAAAAAAAATCATAATAATTCTAATGCAAATCAAATTAAATTTTTAACTATATACTGTGGTTACCAAAATAAAAGGTTTATGTATGAAATTATTTACAATAGGAATTATAATTATTCTGATGCAAACTAGCTCACCTTAATAGCATATTGTGTTTACTTGAATAGCACAGTAGCAGAATTTTTTCAGTTACTCATAATAAAATCATGTCAATTCCAATTCAAACCAACTCAAACTTATCTATATATATATTAAAAATCACAATAATTCTGATGCAGCTCAATTACATATGGTAATCGTAATTACTGTATCATGCTAGTATAGATAAAATAACAAATAATAGTATAATATAGAATGCATTGTAATAGAAGCAATATAGAATAGTTAAATAAAAGTAAAATAAATTAAAAAATAAGACAATCATCAGGAAATTTTTATTAGTGCAATTCTGTGCAGATTTTCAAAAACTAACTAATAAATTAAAATGAAAATCTGTGCAAAACATCAGACTCATCAGCTATAGCCACAGAAATTAAATACAATTCTGTATAAAATTTGAAAAATTATGCAGATTTTGCAAAAAATTCTGCAAAAATTTTACTTTGCAGATTTACACTTATTTAATTTTTCCAATGATAAGTTATTTATTTAATTGTGATATAAATAATTAAAATTTTATACTGTACATAATCTGAAGTGTATAAAATTCTTTACAAATAATGCTACCAAGTAACAAATAATGTGTAAAGACTACAAAATAAACACCAACTAATTTCCTTATTAATACAAATCTTTATCTGTTTTACTATAAATTATAATGTCATAAAATTGATAAAAATGCAAGAATTCACTACAATATGATATAGCATACTCTATTCTAACTCCCTTTGAACAACTTATGCGCCTAATTACATTTTAAAAATTATACTTTTATAGATTGGAAATAATTTTATTTTAGAATGGAGTTTTTTTGGCATTTGCTTTTTTCTCTACAATTTTTTTAATTTATATATTATTGATTATATTTATTACTTTATATACATTAATAAAAACTTAAATTATATTATTTATAAATATATATAATCAAATAATCTATAGCATTTAACAATACAAAACAGATTAAAGCTTAGTCTGGCAAATCGGAACAAAAAATAATATATTTAAGATTCGATCATCAATTCTAAAACAATTTTGGGGATTCGATTATCAATTCTAATTTTTAGAATCGATTCACAGCCCTAGTTGTGACACCCATCATTAAATACAAAACCTGTCTATCGTGCATATTGCTTTGGGTGGTTCAGCATTTGAAATACTAACCTTTACAAATTGACTACATAAGGATATTTTATTATTTATGTTGTGCTTTTACCAATTTATTTATTTTTTGAATTTTTTATAAAATGTCTCACTGGACACTGGACATGTACTGGACAATACAATGGACAAATTGGAAATGTCTAGTGTCCGGTGAAAAAGCACTGAATATATAGCTTGCCCAACCCTGTATGTATATAGATTGTAGATATATAGTTGATTTGTTATTAAAATATGCAAATGATTTTGGTAAATGTTGTAATTAATTTTAGTAAATAGAAATACAAATTAAAACTGTTATCAATTATAATTAAATTGATAAAGAAGTGCCTGTTTTATAATATTAAAAAAATTTAAATTAATTTAGTAACCAGAATATGACATACTCAAAATGAATCAATTAGCAGTGTAATTCTTTACGAATTTAAAAAGCTTATTCTAAATACACTGATTAATAAATATTTATCTATTCTACCAGATTAGCTTAAAATTAAACCAAAAAAAAACATTCATCTAATGGATAATTAGAAAGTAGGTGCTGTGAAATATAAATCTTCATGAGCTCAAATAACTTGCTCAAACATTTTGGTTAATATATATTTATATTAAATTTATATAAATAATCTTGAGAAGGACTCTGACTTAATATAAATCTAATACTCTGATTAAATTAACACTAAAAAAAATAAGTTAGGATAATACAGTAATTAATTGATAGAATCCTTAATTGAATTAATAGCAGGCTTATTAAACTCAAAAAAATATTTTAATTATAATTTGGACCATCCAAAATTACTTTGAAATTTTATTAAGATATACAAAATTAATTTTTTATACTAAATATAAAATATAAAAAATTTTATCTAATTCATTTTGGCAGTTATAAAAAATCTTTATTAAAGTTTAAATAGAATGTGATTTTTTTTTTTAAAGAGATACAAAATTTTTAAACTTCAAATAAAATTCTCAATAATTTCTGAAAATATGATAAAAATTTTTTCATAATTTTATGGATTTATAAAATTAAATAAAATAAAATTTCATTGAATTTGATAAGTTAATAATTAAGAAATCTTCATTTAAAGGTTTAAACTTCACCATTAAATACAATGTAATAATTAAATATAATTAACAGTTAATTGGCTAAGATCATAGTAGAATAGAATTTGATTCTTGAACTTACAAAAATTTTAAACATAATCATCAACTAGTTTAGTACATAAACGGCTAATCGATTCTTTAACATTCATCGATATCGTTATACTAATGACACTTAAAGTCAAATTATCGGACCACCAATTGAACTTGTTTTTTAGGGGAGGAGAGGGTGGGATTGCCCAAGAAAGAGTCAGTCCAAAATCAGGCAGCAAAAAAAAAAGCGCTACCTATTTTTGAATCTTCTATCGAAATTTTTTTTTACTTAAATAGTACGATGCTTTCACAACTTCACAACATTGATTCCTTTTCCTTTTAACCTCAAATAATACAACAATGATTTCCTTTTAACCTCAAATAGTATAACAATAGATTCCTTTTAACTTCAAATAGTACAACAATAGTTTCCTTTTAACTTCAAATAGTAACAATACTCTTACAACAATGATTTCTCCATTTATGCTCTTATATGGTGATCATGATCCTTAGCGTAACTATCGTCATGCATCAGGTTATATTGGATGTTTGTGAAACAAACAATGCTTCTTTGACTTGTGTTACTCTTGTTCGAAAGATAATTCATTTAAATTTTAAATCGAAACTATTTACCAATTAAATTTAGAATCAAACTATTTCATTAATAATTAATTAATCATGACGATTTTTTTACGATGATTAATACGAAGATCAGAGATTAACTATAGCCTGTTCCAAAATTTTTATTTGTTTTTGATTACTGTACACGAATTACTCATTAGGTGATCATTAACAAATATTGATTTTTATGTATTATCGTTATAGAAATAAATTAATAAAAAAAAAGGCTAGGATTATAATCTCAAGGTATATGTTATATATAGGAATATATTATGAATAGTCAATGTATTAAGTATATTATAAAAAAAAAAAATTAAAAAAAAATTTTAGGCTTTAACAACACCCAAAGTAGTTCTACAATTTGGACAAGTATGGATTTTATCCTTAAAATTAGGCAGAACGAAAGGTACCCAAACAAGTGGAAAGAATACTAGGCATAAAATTGTAGCGACAATATATGCAGTTGATCCGAGGTCTTCAGTTACCATCGTAACTACGCTATTATTGCAATGCGGACAATTTACTCTCTCAGGTGTATGAGAAATAATGTTAATATATCCTTGATTCGGATTCATCGTCGCGGGAGGAGGAGGTTGCACTACATAAACGACTTGTTCTTGAGGTAAAACGCCTGTCTGTTGTTGGTTTGGAATGCCTCTCATTTGTTGTTGAGTCGGAGAAAATCCCATGTTTGCTTGTTGATATGTTGATTGAGATTGAGGGAGTTGTGGTTGTTGCTTTTGTGAATATTGAGCTTGATTAATTTGCTGGACATATTGTTGCTGTCCTTGTGGAAATTGATTTCCTTGTGGAAATTGATTTCCTTGCGGAAATTGATTTCCTTGTGGAAATTGATTAGGGAAACCTTGTTGTGGTGCTGGTTGATAGGAGTAAGATTGTGGTTGTGAAGACTGAATGGGAGAAACTTGTTGTAAGGGTTGATTGGAGAAAATTGGTTGTGAAGACTGATTTGGTGGGCCAGATCCCAATACCAGTGGTTGTGAGGACTGAAGTTCTAGTGTATTAGAACCAGAAAACGGTGGTGGAGGATCCGATGGTATTGATGAATTGTCAATTTTTGTTTGAGTTTGCGCTTGTTCAGAATGATATTTTACTTCAGTTAAGGAGCCTTGAGTATTTTCCATTTTTATCTTATATATCTAAATACCATAACGAATAAATAAAATATTATTTATTTTATTTTATAAAGATCGTGTAGCATTTTCTACTGTACATACCAAAATTAAATATGTATATAATATTTCTAAAAAAAAAAAAAAAGATTAAAATTCCAGTCGATAAATGCACTACATCCACTAATTACCATAACATTAACGCTAACAAAAAAATTATTAATGGAGAAATTGTCATAACTAGAATGACCCGATGCGCGATCATGCGTGCGCATTCATGCGCATGAAAAACGCGCATTTTTCCCATCATATTTATATAGTAAAAATTTAGTCTGATACGAAAGTAATATATAAAGACATTTCATGTGTGTGCATTAACGTAAATCCATACACATGAATCCAAAATTTTACATATAACCATTTAATAATTTTGGCTCGTGACCAGCGAATGCAGGCCGGAACCATAGAATAACATTCTTATTATGTCTAAGCCTAAAAATAAACCAGATTATTCTTTATGTTCCTTATCATTTCCCCCGACAAACATTTCACCGAAAAATTTCACTTCCTGACACTTCCCCGACAATCGTTTCTACAATAAATGTCAGAAAATTGCTGTTGGGGAATTAAGTGTCGAAGAAATGAAAGTGTTTGCCGGTGAAATTAATATTGAGAAATGATAGGAACCTATTTTCTCATCTCCAGTCAACAAACAATTTGTTAAAGATTAGCAAACGCTAACGTTTATGTTATAATAATCATATTAATATGAGTTTACTATATACGTACATGTTATATATGACATTAAAAGAATAAAATCGAAGACATAGACCAATATAAAAAAATTTTGGCAGGAAGAGGAAAAGATGGTTCAACACTTAAATTTATTTATTTATGCCTAATACAGTGAATGCGCCCTCTATAAATGCACACCCTCTTTAAATATGCACGACCTCTATAAATGCACCTTTTTTTATTGTTCTATCTTAAAGTTCTGTCCAAAGAGCGTGCATTTATGAAGTTACACCGTAAAATGTATCACTATTTATCACTATAATAGTGTTTAAATAATTAGTAGACCGTATAAGATGCATTTCGTCGTTATACAGTCTATATACTAATTAGTTAAACAAAATTATAGTGATACATTATAGTGATACATTTATGATGAATTTATAAATGAATTCGCACTACTTTAGGTACATTTTTTTTTTTTACACAACATATAAAATCGTAACTTTTTTATTTTTATTATTATTTTTTAACTATAGTTCTAAACTAGCTCTACAATGAAATAGAACCAGTTTTGCAATAACTTCTGCTAACTTTTAATAAAATTAAACCAAAAAATTTGTTAAAGTTATTACCTATTTCAATGTAGAGCTAATCATAGAAATATAGTCAAAAAAATACGATACGATTTTGTATGTTGTGCATAAAAATGTACCTAATGTATTGCGAATTCATATATATAATTAGTCGATTGAATTAAACATAGTAGAGTGGTGGGATATCACACCCCCCGCATGAACTTTACCAACTTTTGTTAAGCGGCTAATATTCTCCGTCTTATTTAGCACATCATGTCATGCGAGTTTGTGATACCTACTATTTGTGCACATGCATTGTGCAACATTCAAGCCTCATTTAAAATTTCCGAATTAATCATCGTAATAAATTACCAACACCATTTTAGTATTGTTCAATGTTTGTTTGTTGTTTGTTTGTTTTCGGGCCTTTCCAATTTCATTTTAAGCCGTCATATTTTGATTTGTTGTTTTATGTTTTTGTACAATCAGACCCCCTAAATGCAACCCCTAAGTGTATGTCCTATGAAACGCCTCCTTAAATGCGCGTCTTCTCTTGGGCCCAACTAATATTATGCCAATAGATTTTTACCACCCTAAATGCGATTCTCTAAGTGCACGTTTGGCAAAACTTTTACATATAGATCCGTTGTATTTCATTTAGAGAGGTCTGACTGTATTACTTCGTAAGCCGCCACATTGCTCATTTTATCCAAAAAGAAATTTCCACTGAAACGTCTTTATTTTATGACCATATACGTACGTACGTACGCTTGCTCACTCGCTCGTACTAGTTCTGGTACAGTTCCCCAATTTTTTTTTAGGCAATACGAATATCTGGTATGTACCATACTCATCAACTATTATTATTATATAGGGCCGGTCAGTATAGTACGGTTTATAGTTAAAAAATCATCTCATACCGAGACCTCTTTAAATTCACCCTCTATAAATGCATTTCCTATGGAAAATCTCTTTAAGTGCACAGTATAGTTTGGCCCAGTTTATAATAGCACAATATACCCTTTCTAAGTGCATATTTTAATTTTTTTCTATAGTCCCAAGAGGGGTGTATTTAGGGAGGTTTCTCCGTATTACACTGGCAATCATAAATAATGCAACACGTGATAATTTTTATAATAAAACATAGTAACTATGTTTTATTATAAAAATTATCACGTGTTGCATTATTTATGATTGCCAGTGTATAATAAATATATTATTACAGTATATTAAATTAATATCGTATGTTTTTTTAATTAAAAACTGTACCGTTGCCCGTATCATACTGATTTGGTCAGTATACATTTTTGTAAAATAAAAAAGAAAAATTATTAATCAATGTTTATCTTATCAATCCCGATTCTGATAGTGTTTGTTCTTTTAAAATTTCTCATTATCAGGTCTTTCTAAACAAACATCTACTTGCAATCTTTTCTCCTATTCATTCTTCTATTTCACTAATTGTTTAATCCGGTCAGAATTACTAGCAGTGAAAGTAATTTATTGCATAGACTATCTAGTATCCCTACATTTAAGATCTTGTCCAGTTCTAATAGAAGCTTGAAAAAATAAATTGAACTATCATTATTATATGCTCATTATCAGATGGGGCTGAGTCAATAAAAATCAAGAAGTATTTTTTAATAAGTTTTTTTTTTTAAACTTTAAACAAAGATAACTTAACAAAAACTTAATCAAATTTATTTAAATAATTCTACTGTACAATTTTGTAAAAATTATTTTAAAAATATTTTAATTAAATTTGGTCAAATTTTTGTTAAGTTATACTCGTTTAAAGTTATAAAAAATTTTTATTATAAAAACTTCCTTGATTTTTATTGATTCACCCATATTTTGAACTTATTTTTTTTATAAATTTCAACTCACTCTCATTATAGCAAAAATGCAATATAGTGAAGAATTTTTATAATCCAGAATTATTAAACTTCAACTCTATATAGTAAGGTACATATAGTATTATCCTGATATCATCAGTGAGTTGTTTTTTTTTTATAAAATCTACATGGATCTACAGCTTTATATAGAATCATCAATCAAGCAATCAATCATCATCAATCATCAATTATCATCAATCCTTCAATCATCAATCAAAACATTATAAAATTACCAGCCGTCACAAGTGTGTCCATTTTTAATTATCTGATTGGATAAAAAAAGTGCTTTGATTAATAATAGAATACATCGTTATACATTGCAGGCATATCAACATAATCATTTCTCACGGTGATTTGATTAGCTTTCCCATATACATATGCACATGACTAATGACTTTGACATAACAAGAATACAATGCTCAATAATATGTTAGAATGCCATGATCATTTTTTATAAGATGGCACCATATTTTTTTTAAGCTTCTTATATCGATATACGGATGGCACAATGAACCCACAATTATAAAAGTAGAGATGTCATAAAACTTAATAATTACTTTTAGAATACGAGTTTTCATTTAGTGATACTCATATATCAATCAATTGTCAAAATTTACAGTACTTCACCACACTATCACGAATGTCTTCTATTTACTAAGTACATATATAATTACGATTTCAAACAATACTATTAGTTGTGCGCCTGTTACATACCAGATACACATGTACATACGTACGTATGTGGGTAAATACATTAATAAAATAAATTATGAAAATTCACATACCAGTGTCAAACCCAAAATTAGTGAGTCTGTAACCAAATCGAATGGATGTCTATGTAACCAAAGTTTAAGTTACGTAGAGTCGAAAAAAGTATGTTAAATTTGGTCGAGTAGTGATGCAGAGTTTAAGGACAGAACTAGTGTTTTATATAAGTTTGTAATGAGGGTGTTTATCAAACATTAGGTTTGATATATGAGACTTAGAAGTATATGATTTATTAAAAGTAATTAATAGTTATCGATATATAAAAAGTGATAGATTTATTAATAGTGATTGTAAAATATATGAAAATAATTGTATGATAAAATGATTTAATAAAAGCAAAGGTGGGAGTTATTTTTTTTCAGTGCTCAACGGTCTTTATTTATAATCAATTCTTTATTTATTTTGTGCATGCAGAATATGCTGTTTTCCCAGAATTATCTTTATTGCAATAATTATTAAAATTTACCTTATTCCCTCTTTTTGCATAATTGTTATAATTGTCATAATTCTAAAAATTCACTGATTTTCCTTAATTTTTGTAATTCCAAAACTCTCTGGAATTCCAGCAGTAAATCTAAAATTGGAATTCCTGGGTACATGCCTGCAGTCAAGTCACATTTCTGGTCTCATATTTCTTCCCACTTAAAGGTGAGTTCTATATACTGTCATCAACCAGCTGTTGATATTTTTTTATCTATAACTTCTTGAAGTCTTAAAATCAACCTTTTGTTGTTACTATCTGAATTTGAAAGAGCATCAGATAGGTCAATGCCAAGATAGATCAGGGTGGTAAATAAATGTATAATATAGCGGGTTGGGTGGTGAATGTGTAAAATCAAATAAACCAAAAAAAAAAAATACAAAACAAATAAAATCAAAATAAAATCTGACTAAAATCTAAACTAACTATAACTGTATGAAGTATAACAAGACAATGAGTTTATTATATATTTATAAGGGATGTCTACTCAGACCAAAAACCTCAAACAAAAAATGTTAAGACACAAAGCCCGAGACAAAAGATCTACCTTTAACAAGAGGGTGAAGATATAGAGTTTATATACATGTTAGCTAAGTATAATTTTAATAATACACTACAGATAATACCTATCTATTCTATCATATTGCATTACTAATCTTTATTTACAGCTAACACCGATCAAGCTTTCTTGTGTATCAAGGCCCGAATTAAGAGCTACACTCCAGCTATTAATCTCAGAGAACAAGGCCCAACTTACTAACATGTAATACTAACTCATTTCATAAATCAGATATAAGATATATGAAATAGGAATATTGGGGTAAGAGTATAGAGAAACAAATAAAGAAGGGGTAAATAACAAAAATAGAAATAAGGTGAAACAATAGAAAGACAATTAAGGAAGAAGAGATAACTATAACATAGGGTGAATATAAGTATTATAATTAAGGAAGGGATAAACAATGATCAGATAAAGGTTTAACAAAAATCAAGGAGGATAACAAATTACAATATTGCAGGGCTAACTAATAAATAAAAATTTTAGGTGTAAAAATGTTATAATAGTAACACCATGTTTAATATATTTGGTCAAGTTCATATTTGCTAAATATATTATAGATACAGACAAGGATCTGGTAGTAATATACTGATATAAGTAAGCATAGATAGCTTAGCTACTCTGAGGTGGTGGTAGCTAGTGTTGGTGGTATCACCTGAAGGGTTACGAAGTGTGAAAAGAAAAGATGTACTATTAATAGAAGTTAAAAGCTGGGAAAAATTATTAATAGACAGAGTAGTTATAGACAAAGAACTCAGAAATAGATTAGCAGTAATTTTAGAGCAAAAAGAAAATTAGATAGTCTTTTATTTTACACAGATGGCTCACTCAGGACATCAGAAAATGATCTCAAAATGCAAATGGGTTGTGGAATAATCCAAATAGCAGAGGTGAGTCAAATTATTCATCAAATAGCATGTATAACTGAAAAGTAGTTTTCTTTGATCAGAGCCGAGTTAGTAGCAATCCTCATTGCTTTATTAATATCACCAAAAGAAAAAGAGGTTGAAATCAGAACAAATAGTAAAGCAGCAATCTTAGCAATCAAAAGGAGACTAGAATCAAATAAAGCAAGACAGTGGTTAAAAATTAAAAATAGCAGTCTTATTACAACGTTAATAGAAATAGTCCAGACAAAACAACTGAAGCTGCATCTTACGAAAGTCAAAAGACATTCAGGTGAATTTTTTAATGACCTAACAAATCTCAAAGCCAGAAAAGGTGCATCGAGCTCAGAAATTTTGACCTCAGTATCACTAAGTACAAAAGAATACAAGCTAAGATTGAATTGGAAAAATGAACTAGTAGAAAAGTCGCTTCGATCTTTTACCAAAAGCTTGAAAAAGTAATTAGTAGAGCAGAATAGACATTCACACATAGTACTCAAAACACTACACATAAAGAAAGAAAAACTCATCAATGTTGGTCAATATTCTATAAACTTTTATAAAGTGGAATTAAACAACAAAATTATACATTTGAATCAAACAGCATTTAGCTCTTCAAATTAAAGTGTATAAACAACTTACTTCCAGTCTTTGAAAGATTAAGTCAGAGAAGACCAGATATTTATAAAACAAACAAAATGTGTAATATGCAAGAAGAAAACTGAGAATGTTGAATATCTAGTTAGTTGTGAAGTCTTACTAGGTCTACTACGTAATATAGAAGAGCAAGAAGCAGAGGCAACTCTTAAAAAGCTTGAAAAAGAAGACAATATAAGCAGGGACAACGAAGGTATTCTTGCAATGCTGGGAAAAGGAAGTACATCAGAAGAGATAAGAAGAAAAGAAAGATAGATCAGAGGCCTCATCACAAATGGTGATGTTGAAGAGCTTCGACCATTTTTCGACTCTAACAACTAAGTAAAAAAGTTTATAATTCAGTTCTAGAAAAATTGGATAAAGAGAATACATGAGATGATATGGGTCCCCAGATGCAAACTCGTACGGAATGGAAGAAAGAAAATAGTATAGCACCCAAAGAAAAGAAAAATGCTATTCCAAAAGCTAAGTGAGGAAGAAAGAAAGAGAAGAAGAATGGAGACGGGAAGAAAACTATATCTGATAAATTGCTCGAACAGAAAAGCAGAAAAAAAAAAGAAATAGAAAGATGGACCACAGTATTAGAAATAATGAGGAAGAAAGAAAGAGAAGAAGAATGGAGATGGGAAGAAAACTATATCTGATAAATTGCTCGAACAGAAAAGCAGAAAAAAAAAAGAAATAGAAAGATGGACCACAGTATTAGAAATAATGAGAAATAAAGTATTAAGTTGGATTTTAAGTATTCAATGTGCAGAGTGGTGGAAAATTAATTAGTAGTCTTGACAGGCTATAAGAACCTTCTGTCGAAGTATTAACGAATCCAAGTGCAGGATGAAGTAAAACTTACTATAGCAGATCGCACATAGGTGTCATTGAATAACCAGGTGAGCTAATACTTGTAATTTAGGTGTCAAGAGGAATAACCTCTTAAAAATTTTAATATTTTATAGTATAATATTATAAAGCCTAATAAAGTAGAGGCAAGACTGCCAAATTAAAAAAAAATTTTATATTATGCCAGAAAAGATAATTTTTTGGTTCCCATTACCCAGCTGGGTCATCAATGAATTTAAATTTATGAGATACAGTACTTAAGTTAACCAATCAGAGTATACTTAATACTAATATTTTGAATTAAGAACACTATGCAGACTTATGTTTTAGTAAATTTTGAATCAGAAGATGAAAAGGTCTTAGCTGTGTAACTTGCAAGAGCAAGAGAAGAAAAAAGTATTAATATCCAGATAAATTTATTTGATATTCATTGAACATTTTAATACTTCTAGTAATTTGACATATTATAGTTTACATGTAGATTTTATTCTTTTTTCATTTTAAATTAAAGTTCAGATTGATGGATAAGCATTTAGCAGATGCTTTTTGCAACTGCACTATACAACTTTGAGTTCAGATAAGACTAAAATTTATAATCAATAATTTGTATATAAATTTTCAGAAAATCAAGTTATAAGAATTTTTTATTTTTTTTTTTTGGTGTTAAGGTGAGGTCATGCCTCATGACTTTTATTATAAGTATATATTTTGTATATATTATGTGATACAATTGTTATATACTATTATTAAGTACATTATGGCTCAGACAGGTCTTGACTACTATCTGCGACCTAAACCTACCAGAGAATTCCATATCCCACTTATGTACAACCTGGATTTTTAACTACTATATCCGATTTGTACACAAAACTCCCTTCTATATTCATCTCTCATATTTACAACATGCAACTCCCTCTTTTGGTAACCTGTAGGAGGCCTCATAATCTAATAGTTACTCCCAAATTGGTCAGACCGCTCTGCTTCCCTAATTCAAGCCTATTTTAGCTACTATAGATTCTGCATCATGTGTTAATACCATGTGGAGCTTACACTCAAGAAAAACTATATTTCTTAAAAGATTTAATAATAATTTCTGTTGGAATTTTATTTCATGCTTCTATAACCTAATGACATATTATATTATGCTCTGGTTTTTTCATATTTCCTTTTTTAGTAAATTTATATTTTCCAACATCTATTTACATATTCTATTTTTTACAAAGCCAATCCTTAAATAGTTTGTTAATGCTTATATCCAAAGGTTGTACAACTAGTGTAAGTCTACTAGAAATAATATCTAAAACAGTATTCATATTATAGCATTTGTTTTTAAATGAATCAAATACTGATAATAATCTTTTATTTTGTCTACCAGGTCTTTGTTTCCAAACTGCTTCTAACTATTTTTTCATTAACTCTTCATTTATTCATTCACTCATTCTCTTATATTCTAATAACTATTTCAGGAGGATATTGACTTTTAGACACTTTTTTTTCTTTGAAAATAATTATTAAAGGGAGCTTTGATCTACAGTATTTGCTAAAACTTCTAAACCACAGATAAATTGGTTTTTATTATTCTTAGTTGTATATATAGGTATTGTTTTTGTGCCATAATTATTAATTATATAAGCACTAACCATATTAAAGTAAATAGGAGTTTCATCCATATTAGCAATGCAGTTAAGTTCAAAATTATTATTTATTCATAAAATTATGAAACTTGATAACTTAAGTCTTTAGAAAGTTTTTAGAAGGTTTTTGTATATCTGTAAAGAGAAAAGTTAACTGATTCATAAAAAGATTAAGCTATAAGTCTAATGCTTTAAAAGTATTAAGAGTATTAGGATATGATAACTTAAAACTTATTAGAGAGTAAGTTAGTCATATGAAATTTAATATCTTTAAAGATGACTGCTATTCTTCTTTGATGTTATTTAACTATCTACTTTTTCAATAAATTTTTAGCAAGTGGATATAATGATAAAGTACTAGATTCTACTTTATAACTTGTCTTTCTTGTATTATTAAAGTTTTTTTTTCACTCACTACTTGCTGATTTGAGTATGATCAATATTAAAGAACCATGCTACAGCATAATTATTTGTTTTTTTACATATTCAATTGTATCAAGTTTTAAATTTACAAAATAGCTTTTATGTTTTTCTTTTGGAATTTTAACAAAATGCAAAACTTTACAAATTTTTTTGCGTAACTGATTACAAAAAGTATATATATTTATTTGTATCTAGTTTATACTAGTTATAGTATAACAAACAATGCATATGATTAGAGGATAACTTCAATGAACTAATCAAACATTCTGTACTATATAATATTTAAAGGTATCAAAAAAGTCACAAATATTAACATTTTTTTCTTACCTGTTTTTTTTTTTTTTTTTTTTTTTTAGCTCTTTGACAGTCTTGCCGAAGCTTAAATATAATACTTTATTAAACAAACTTGAATGGAATGCATAATAACAGTATAGAAAATTGCAAACCTGATATCATCTGGCTATATTTAGTGTATCCAAGAGCGACTTGCCACACCAACCTACATGTAAGTTGTCAGCCCGCCAAGAGCTTATTTCTTCATTTTTACTTTCTTCACCGAGAGCAAAAGAAAATAATGTTCTATATTCTCAATACTAGAATATATATCAAGAAAAAAAAAGAGTTTACAAACAAAAAAAAACAAAAACAAGAAAAGGAAAATAATAAAAAATAAAAATGGTAAAAACAAAAAATGTAAAAAAAGAAAAAACAAAGAGATAAGCCCCGACAGGCTGAACAAAAAAAAAGCTATTTCCTGTAAGAAATAGCAGCTATTTCTATCAAGAAATAGCACAAAAATGAATACAAAAAAAAGAAAAAAGAGGGTGCACTATTATAACCTGTGCCAAGCAAATATAAAAATTATATAACAAACACAACTTTTGTATATCTCTACTGTAAAGCTTCGCCTTAATGTTAGTATTCCTTTCTGACTATACAATCAACTCTGGAATATTTGGTTCTAACCTAATCTGTATCTTGAGCCAGATGCTGCTACCATTCGTAGACCCGTATCTCAAGCCACCTGCTGCCGCAATTAGAACCCAGGACCTGTTCAAATTAGTAGCACCGTATCCGCCAAACACATAGTTGTAATCTATTCAGCTTTTCGGATTTGGGATGTAAACAATGTCGATCTTTTGGAGGGGGTAAGCCAAATTCCTACTTTTTATCCAAAAAAAATTTCCAAGAATGGCAAGAGTTATAGAAGGAAATTTTATAGGTAAAGAGCAACCACTTGCAAAACTTGTAAAGAGTATATTGAAAAATAAAGACTTTTGTTGTTCCCCTTGTCTTTTTTGTTTAACTCTTAAGAGACTTCATTGACAGAAACCCTCCTCTCCAGGACACCGTCTCCACCAAAATTTTTTGTACAAGGGCACTCCCTGCTAGTTATCTTGTACCAAAATGCTTTTGGCTTGCATGCCGAATATGTACAGGAGTTGTAAGAGAGGATAGAAGCAGTCACCTCTACAAAAACTACCTTGTCAGAATACAAAGCAACGTTATCTCCAACAAAATTTTTATTTTTCTTTGGGCAGAAAATTTGGGGCAAGTAATCATCAGAAAGAGTATTATACTTACTTGTTTTTCATACAGTATATTATTAGTTAATTTATTTATTATAAAATTACTATTATTTATTGGTATCTTATAAGTGGTGTATATTATACTTAAGAGCCTAACATAAATCAGGTGATTTCTATTTCTTAAGAGGCTACCCCACTCACTCAAACCTGATATCTTATTAGCTAATCAAATTGTATAAAAAATTTATATATTAATTAATAAAAAATTTCAATATTATATAACTTTTGATCTACTAAACAAAATTAGATGTTTTAACTATTAAAATGATTCTCTTAATGAGACAATTCTAACAAGTCTAAATTTATCAAAATCCAATTACTAGATCTTGAGATCAGTATAAATTTGTATACTATATACTATATATTACTATATATAGTATAGTATATAAATCCATATTGATCTCAAGATCTAATAATTAGATTTTGATAATTTTAGACTTGTTAGAATTGTCTCATTGAGAAGATCATTTTGGTAGTTAAATCATCCAAATTGGTTAAGTAAAACAAAAGTTATTTAATATTAAATTTATATATAATTTTAATTAAAAATTTTTTATAATTTTAGCCGGCCAGAATTTAATAATTCTGGCCAGAATTACATCTAATGCTTTGGCTAACCATCTACCAAAAAATTAGCTGATTTAAATCAGCTCCCTAAGGCTTCAAATCTCTACTACTTTTTGTCATAGTCACCAAAAAAAGTTGGCTTAACAACTAGTAACAATTATAAAATCTATATTCATATTAAAATAAGTAATATAATTGTGTTAAAAACATAATTGATACAATTACTTTCGCACTAACTCATCCTTTAATTTATAACAATAGGATAGCTATATGACATTGTCACACTAATCAGAAAAAAAAAGAATAATCAATTGACAAAATCTGTAAGGGAGCTAACAATTATCAGGTGATTTTCTAGAAAGGAGAGGAGTCAAAAAAATTAGAATTTTATATATAAAACCTGATAATTTATATATTAAAAACTAGGAGGAGAAGTAAGTCTCTGATAAAAAAAAATCAGGTAATAAATAACACTGTCCTAACTGATACATGTTTTTATATATTTTTTACTACTCTTACTGTATTTT